TCCACGTCGACTCTAAACACGAGTTAAGCTCCCTGCTGCTGTTGTTCAGAGTAATGACACCATGAGACACCATGTTTCTCAACAGGGGAGACTTGCATCAGGAGGACACCTTAGTAACCCATGAGACTACCTTACCGTACCGTGATAGTTCCCTGGTTAACACATCTCCTCTGACAAACGGAGGAACGTTTGACACCGTGATTTTAAGAGCTGATTTTGTGAGCGGCAGAACGGGAAAGAAGTGGTCGTTCACCTCGATCCCGCTCTCTATGACGAGGTCTGCGTCTTCCACGCTGCCAACAAATATGACCACAGCCCCGTTCATCCGCGTTGGCACGCGTTGCTGTGGACGACCATCTCCCCCACATTCCTCCACCGAGCACGGGAAGCGCGGCGGTATCTTGAAGCCGTGCTTCCTTGTGGCGTGTAGCGCAAACTACCCACAAACAATTACCCAAACCCCTTTCATGTGCACTAACACCCTTGAACCCTGCATACCACAACACTTATAATACACCATATTAACAGCAAGAAATATTGAACGGACTTTCAGACGCTCACAATCACGCTCCACAAGCTCAACACTCCTTCCACTCAGAGAGAGCGGGAGAGATGCGGTAGTTAATGTTATAGTTAATTTACTTAATTTTGTGTAGGTAATATGTTAAATATGTTTAAACTTAAATAAATTACCTATACAAGTAGGTATGTCTCATTGTATTCATTTTTCCTGTTATTGACGTGTCTAATGAGCAACCAGATATTCGAATATTCAAATTCAAACTCAAATTTTAGAGCAATTTTGACAGCCTTAACAGAGAGGGAGAGTGAAATTACAGAGAACAAGTGTTGTAAAAAAAGGAAGTAAACTATCAGAATAACACAAATAAACAAGGAAATGTGGTTTTTAAGAATATATATAATAGCAGAAAACAGCAAATTCAAGAAGGTTAGAAGGAGAAAATCTACAGGTAGACACACAAACTCCCTCATCCCTCAATCCCCCTGGGCCCCTCCCACGTCTCTCCTCTCACATACACAACCCTCCCTCCAGCAGTCAGTAGACACTCTTTTGGACTTGACTCCCCCCTCCATCCGGCGTGGCCCATCAAGCAGATGGGGACCTTATCTAGTCCCTGGCACTCGCCTCCTTTAGGCCTCTGAGGAAACCTTTTACATTGCCAAGTTAAATGGAAGGGCCCCTGCACACCGCGCAGTGAGCAGCACACGCTGCAATGCTCGACGGAGGAGACTGATTGGCAGAAGAGGGGAGGATCCTCTATCTTTCTCCGCCGCGGTCGCTTTTTCTATCGCATTTTTTCACCCCTCACTTGCTCGCAGCTGACCTGCATTCCGATGAGGGAGTGAGAAAGAGGGGAACTCACAGCAATAGATAAAGAGGCTATACGGACTGTGCATTAAACAGTCTATCCTGCGCTGGCGTCCATCTCCCTCCTTCTCTTCCTTCATTTTCCAATCTAGCGCTCCATTCATCCAGGCCTCCTTTTATGCCCCCCTTCCTTTACCCTGCCTATTTCTCTTTCCCCTCACACTCTTATACCTGTGGCAAATACCAGTTGAGCTGCGAGAGATGGCCACTTAAATGTTAAATTTGCATTTATGTATATGACAAGTGTCTGTCACAATTTGAAAGTAGTATGTCTCACTTCTCACATACATTTTGATCCAAGCATTTAGAGAATGCTCCATGTTACTCCATCCTGGTCTCCCTCGCCACCAATATTGCTGGGGGACATTGTCTGTGTTTGAATATCGGCCTGTACTTTTATTTTTGCAAAACCTCCCAGGTGGCAGCTTTTTCATACTACCGTATTATTTTGGCACATAAAAGCACACATGCACAAGCAGACACTCATCCTCATGCAATTGCCCTGATATGTTGATGATCTGAAGCAGAGAATTAAGCCAAAGGCAAGAGCAGCGAGATTAGAAGGAGAATCCACTGGTAATTGATGTGTGATCTTTCCCAGAATCAACATATTACTCAGGCTTAACAACAGACTCTTCTGACAGGCTATACAGAGTGCGCGTGTGTGTGCGCGTGTGTGTGTGTGTGCATGCGTGCGTGCGTGTGTGTGTGTGTGTGTACTTTAGTACCTGTGCAAGATCACACACAGCGATACTGGTGTCCAGATGGCTAAAGGGAAGAATGACACCAGCAGACGTCGGCTGTGGATGGAGTTAGAATCCTCCATCGACATGGATGCGCGTGTGTTTATTGTGATTGTGGTTTGTGTGCATGCTGTCACTTCAGAGGTAATTGTGACCCAGAGGCCGATCTACTGCACAACTCTGCTCTTCCCCTCTTCCACGCAGATACGATTTCACACACTAAAAAAAGGTATGCCCAGACTCAACACCCCCCATTCATACGAGTACGTCCTCAACTTCTCTGCTCTCCCAATCCAATTCCAGTGTACAGGTGGAGTATGTGTCCCACTGTGGCAACATACCCTCCGTAAACAAGTCTCAGTTTAAAATTCACCTCCTTTAATCCCCCCGTCCCCCCCCCGCTCCCGCACTCCCCAGTCGACTGCTGCCTCCGAAAGAAAAAAGACAAAATTGATCCGCCCTCGTCCAAGCGTAAAGCGTGAAAACCACCCCTCCCTCAAATTCCCAACATCAGCCCATCTCAGTCCACAGCTGCTGGAGGGTGTTCAGACGAGTGTGCATAGAAGGATCATCTGAACACAAGCATTCATATACAAACACAGATTTAGTCACACACCTGCATGTATGCAAGCTTACACACACCCGCACTAATCCCCGCCATGAGTCTTTCCAACACCCCCAAAACCTTGTTTTCCCCCCATTGAGGGGTTATCACCCCTCCCTTTCTGCCTCTCCACATTGGGCTTTTGTCCCCATGGGTGCAAAATGACTGGGAAGAGCTCAGAGCATGTGTGCCAGTGATAGTGCTGCCACTTCTCTGGTGTCGTGAGAGTTGAGCTGGGGATGTTGCTCTGGGTCTGTTCTGTCAACCAAAAAACAGGGTTAGCTGTTAGCAGACAATATATTTATAACTTGTGTGTCCTCATATTCCTTATGTTACTACGTTGTATAACTAGGACACAAGGAGACAAGATGGCCGTATCCCTTACTTCTGCACGAACATCCCTCCCATAAGCATCAAACCTCTTGTTGTACGATGGCTAAAAGAATCCATTGGTTTGACTGTTGCGGGAGGCAATATCTTATTTACAATATGTTTTACCGAACCAGACAAAAAGGGGAGCAGTTCATATTTGCAAAGCACCTGTTTCAAGCAGTCCCGGCGATTCTTCCACTTAAACATTTGGTTACCAATGCATCAAATGAAATTACAAGAGAGCTACATGCCAATAGATTATGGAGTAGAGCATCCATTACCTAAAGTAATGAGTACGGTATATATGTAGCTAATAAATAAATGTTAATCTAATTTGTATATGGTTTAAACATGTTTGTACACTGAAGATAAACCATTAAAACTAGCTGGTATTTCAAAATTTGTCAGGTTGTTTCTTTAAAGATTTTTACGGTTTCATTTTCCGCTTATTGTGTTCCTGCTGAAGCTAACTCTTCTCATTGGAAGGGTGCAAACTATCACACTATCCTCTGTTAGTTGTGCCCAGTAGAGCCGATGCGCCGGGAAGTCGCTTTGGATAAAAGCGTCAGCTAAATGACATGTAATGTAATGAGCCCTTGACCTGAGGCTGAAGGCTAAGACGTTAAAATGTGGTACGCTTCTTACCACCAATTGCCAGGGATCCACCCCTTTATTAACCAACTTTTATTGCATTTTATACAAATTTTATAAGTGTTTTTTTTATGTCTATAAAAACACAATTTGATTTCAAGCACATTCAAATGAAGGTATTTCTTTTGTAATTTATAAAGCTTAGTAGTTGAATAACTACATTTCTGCAGTTGGGAGACTTACCAAGGAGCAAAGTCCTGTCCTGTTTATTTATTTTATAATCTACATTGTCTTTATTTCGGTTTCAGTGATTCAAATAGGTCTTAATGTGCCGTATGTCATTCAGAACTTTGTTGGCAGAATTACGACGTCGTCTTCCTTAACCAAAGCCACAAGAATGGCCACAAACACAGCAAAGTATGCATAAGATATGTCTATGTAAATCGTTTACAGAGGCAACTCTTTTAATTTGGCACATTTCTTTTGTCAACTTTTTCGGGGATGACTTAAATGGAAAGTCCCTGGGCGGATACTAAAACAGTGCTTTTTGGGTTACAGGGTATTTTACTCTAACCCAATTAGCACTGTTTTAGTCCATAATACTAAATAGACTCAGGACTTATACTTTACTGTCTTGTCTTTTAAGAACAGGGAAGAAAAGAATTGATGAGCAGATTATTACATAAGTAATAGTGAGGTGGTCGTTCATCTTACTGAGCTGAGAATTTAAAACAAGTTCTCAGTGCTGTGGCAGGAAATACTGCACACGTTAGTAAGGGCAGTTCTAGGCGCAGACCCTACCTGTGCAGCAATTGCTGTTTAAATGCAACTGTTTTTCTGGAATGAAATAAAACATGGAGTACCAACACGCTATCAGCATCCAGATTTGTAAGCTGCTCTGTAACATTCAAAGGTCACTATTTTAACAAATGTAACCTTTGGGATGGTGCTTTGGGATTTTTTTTCCTTTTTCGTTGGAGATAAAAAGGTGTGTCAATAACTAGATAATGCAAGTTGTCAAGCTCTGATTCATAGGACTTGATTCAAAGACTAAGACAATGTATTTTCTTTTGTTTTGCAATGATGTGAAAAATGAAAAGCAACATATGCCTGAGCAGCCCCCTTGATGCTTAAAATGTGAAATGAAGTGCAACTTCTTCAACGCTTTATCATACCACTGTATAGATTTTCACCTTTCTCTCCATCTTTGTCTTTTTACCTTGTTGCCTCTAGAACTTTGACAACTACAAACAGACGTCAGAACAGTACAACGAGGCGGCAACTAGAGCAGAGGCCCACATCCGGTAAGTACTATGAATTACTTTGCAACACCATTTTCTGTGTAATCAAGCATTCAGTATACTCAATATACTGTTTGCTACTTACTGCCTCAGAAATGTTGTATTTCTACAAGCCTATCATAGGCTCGAGCAGTTGATTGTGCATATAAAGACAAAACAATACATAGATATTCAGGCAATAATTATTTAGACTTGGGCAATAATTATTTAGAATACTTTCACCTGCTTTGGTGAGGTGGCCTCGCCAAGAATACCTATTATCTAAGTGCTGGATATTGTGACTCATAATCACTCATAATTCTTTTGCATAATTTCTTAGAATGGCACTATAATAGCTGAATAGATACAGATCATGTCTGTCGAGTCTATTGCCTTTTATTTTTCAGCAAAATAACTGAAATATACCAAACTATCATTTTCACTGTATTCCCTCTTTCGCTCAGAGCGACAACTTGGATTGTGTGGAGCCAATTAGCTGGTTTAGAATATGCTTTCTCCTTTGTGAATGGGTGCTGAATTTTATGTTTGGATCTATATTCAAATCTGGTGGTAAACTGGGACTCATGATCATGGCAATAGATTATGGACGAGTCAGCTTTTTTTATGGCCCCATTCTGCTAGTAGGAAAACAGACGCATGCGATGCCACTAGAAGCAGCAGTGCTCCTCTGGGACGGCAGAGTTCATACTTCCCCTGCTGTCAAAAAGCATGTCAGATTCATTTAACACTGAATTGCCGCCACACTGTCACTGATTTCCGCCCTCTTTAACACCCATTCTTACTCTTTTTTTTTTTTTTTTTTATGAGAGAGAGCAGAGGAGTCTCTTTGAATCCAATTTAATCAGAAAGCCATTCATAGCCATTCATTTTCCCTTTTCCCGGTTGCATGAGAATGATTATTGTAAAAATGATAAAAGATGGCTCAGTAATTCACATCTATCTTTATTCATGTTATTCTCACAGGCTCATTCCTCACCTTTTAAGTTCCTATTAACACATAAAACCTTCTTAACCCTTGGTCTGACCGCTCACTATTGAAACCTGTATCCGTTCTATGGAACAAGCCTATAAAGGGCCCACAGTTAATGGGAGCTAGCTTTTTTTCTTCTGCTGCCAGCAGTGTATCCAAGTCTAATGACATTCACCAGGAACCTAAAAAACACATCAGAAAATGGAACAATCTCCCTGCTGAACAGTAATCGTTTCATATATTGGGGTTAATTAGAAGTTTTGCATTGTTATTTCAATAGCAATACCTGAAGGGATACATTTTCATTGGAGTATAATGAATGAGTAAATCTGTGGCTCAGGTCAAAAGAGGGTTTGTTGGCCCGAAATTAGTTCTAACAACAAACTCAGCAGAATTACTTCCAGTCATTCCCTAACAAGGTGAGAAATGAAAGAAAGTCACTAGTACAGTCACTGCAAGTGGCATGGCATCCATCATTTTAGATTTTACATTGGCATACAAAAGAAGAATATAAAACAAAGCAAATGTGTGAGTGGTAATAGTATGTCAGTATAGTATTATAGTAGTAGTCAGGCTCGTGCTTTCCTGGAAACTGCAAGAGGAAAAAAGTGGATGCTTGGTATTTTTTGCTAGCTTTGCACTGCATGATGGAGGCTAACCTCATTTTTTTGCACCTGGTCTGCTGATTTTAACAGAATACAATTCAAGGCCCAAATTTTGTCCAGCAGATTACATTAGTAAGGAGTTGCTATTGTCCATAGCTGCATGGAAGAGGTGAGAAGATCAACTCTGGCCGAGTTTGCCAAAAGAAGCACATTTTGTCCTGCTACAATGTGTTGCTCATTATTTTTCCTCGCGCAGGCAACATTTCTCTCCCCTTTCTCTATCTCTGCCACACATACAGGCCACTCTGTATTCAGGCAGCCACGCGCTCGTCATGTTCTGTCAGCATTTGGGCAGCGTTTCATTGTGCCGTGGTCACGCTGTCATTTCACACTACACTGACCACTCAGTAATTATTCTATTTACCCACTGCTGAAGGGAGGGGGAGCCGCGGGGGCTGGGGGGGGGGCACAGTCCACCACGTTGTGTCCAACATGTTGTCTAGCTAGAGTACGTATTCTTATTCTTCTGTCTTCGTGTTTGTCTCTGTCTCCAGTTTTTGCTTATCAATCGCTCTCCCATTATCTAATTGAATTTTTAAATGATGAAATATCTGTTCTATCTCACGTCCACTTGTTATTTCCTGTTGGTGCAATTTTGCAACAACAAAATTATAGGTTTTGGAAAGCTCATTTAACAGTGAATTGCTGAAAATAAAAATACAGCAACCATATTCCAAGGTAAGAAATGGAAGAATTCCTCTTCCAGGCCCAGATGTAGCAAATTATTCAGTGGCGGAGTGAGTGAAAGCTGTTTTCAATGACCGCATCTCCTGCTGTTGACTGATGGCCTTTCTGCAGGAAGTAGTTAAGGTCAGTGAAAACACCATGGCGAAAAGCTAAAGGCTGGCGCATGCTTCTGCGTCTGCGTCGTTGCGTCGACGCACTCGTTTCAATTCATGGTTCTAAAAGTCTTGCGTGTGTTGCAGAGCAATTCACCGGCAGAACAACAGGTGGAGTAACGTGTTTTTTTTGAAGACGACCTAGAGAGTCACGTCTTTGTGTGTGGAAGTCATTGGTTTGTTTATTTATTTATAGACTTTATTGCCCCGTGCATCGCCACTGCTGCTTTTTATCGTGTACACATTTGTCCCGTGTTTTCCTCCACAACTTTGTTCCCCTTGACCGGCAAACCGACGTTTGCGGAGTTTCCCCCTCCATGAATCCAACCCGTTTATATAACCCACCAATGACGGCTTGTATAAGCGGCCATGTTTACGCATTTCTTCCGACAAAAGTTCTTCAATCTGATCCGTTCTCTTGTAAACATTCTTCATTTTAATAATGGCGGTATCGGGCTTTTGAGACTCTGTAAAGGATGGAGTTAGCAGACCAATTGCAGCCTTGTGCGCTGCGGGAGGCTTACGTCGCTTGCGTCGAAAGCGACGCAAGCCTAGAAGAATGGGTCGACACACGCAAGGGGGTGTGAAAAGGCACGCAAGGGGGTCTTGCGTCTGCGTCGCTCTGAAAACGCAGAAGCATAAACTAGGCTTTAGACGGACATTGATGTTTATTTGATAGGGACAGATACGCAATGCATGGAGTTGCACCACCATAATTCAATGCAATATATCACAGCATTTATAGCGGCTGCTAATTCCCAATTCTCCCATAGACAGTGATTTTCAATTAGTTGTACTGGATACCACCATTTTGAAACCATCTTCGTCATTTCCAGTTGTTTATTGACATTCTTAGTAGTCCCTCTTTGGCTGCTCACGCCTAGCTGTGATCCCAAACCGGTCACAAATAGTTTAAGTGCAAAACTCAAAGCTGAAAGCTGCCTCTCACACCTGAGGAGGACACTGTTGATTGCAGGGCGGAAGGAGGCCTCCTGGGTTATCGCTGTTCTTTTCCTACATTGGACCGGTCACACTCTCTAAAACATTATCCTCGAGTGGGGACATGTTGAGCGGTAAAATGTTATCTAGTGCTATTTTCTGCTTGCCCGGCCCAACTACACGGGTCATTTTGGAGAAGTTCATCCATTAGCCCTGCCTTCGAGTAGCAGACTACCCAGATTCCACAAAAATACCTCACCTAAGAGACCCACAACATTGCAGCTTAGCTTACTTTAGAAGCTGAAAAAAAGCATTAATCCTCTTTAAAAGAACTTGTTTCCCTCAGAGTGTTAGCAAAGACAGAACCAAAGTGAACCTCAGGTGGGATGTGAGGATTCAGCTGTCAGCAGTAAAAGCCTTCTTTCATGTGGGTTTGTTATATATACCTTTATTGTGTGTGTGTGTGTGTGTGTGTGTGTGTGTGTGTGTGTGTGTGTTTGTCTCTGGTGGTGGTGTATGTAGCATGTCCAATTAGTAAAACAGCAGCTAGCGAACTGTAAAGATCTCTGTGACCCACAAGGTAGTAGACTCCCAGTCATTACAAGAGACGAGACCTGTCTGCACTGGGTGGTCCAGCAAAGATTTTCTATTAAGACAGAAAGCTGCAGTCCTCACACACTCTGTCTCCGTTACTGCCTCTGTGTACCTCTTTTTTGACTGCCTCTGTACAGTGTCTGTGTATATACTCCCACACCGACACACAACCCTGCAAAAGAATTACAGACAGGTCTGATTTGAGCTTTGCAGTGTCTGTTGGTACACGTGAGAAGACAAGCTTACAGTTCACATGTTACATTTTTCACACAACAACAAGAGAGCAAGTGCAGACAAAATAATCCAAACATAAATAGCAGGCAATATGCATGATATTCTGGTGTTTTACCTTTTTTTTTTTTTTTTTGAAAAAAAAAGAAAACTGCACCTCCTTGTATGTAGTAGCACTGATGGACAACACAGGATGGGCCACGTTTGAAATACGAAACACTCATTTAGGGTAACAGCCTCACATGCAGCAGGTTGTCTCTAATACAGATTCCTTCGATGGGAACCAGAAGAGAGTATTATTTTGTAGTGCAGTGTTGAAAAGCCACAGATTTGGAAGTTGTTACAAAAAAAGGACCTGACACAATAAAAGACACACCATTGGAATTTTGGAACTCGATGATGAAAAAAAAAAAGGCCATTGATGGAAGACGATGGCAGTGAGACGCTCCAGAGAGCTTGTCTCACCCGGCGTCACCCGCAGCTGGAGTGAGTCGTGCAGCCGCACGGTCGCAGATTGAGAAGCTATCAGCGACGCAATGTAACACGCGCGCACACAAGGCCCCTTATCTTGTTCCCTCATGTCATCTGTTTTAATGAAACACTCGCCTTATCCCCTCCCATCTCGCTCTCCCCGTGTTCCCACAAAGTGAGTTTGGTGGGGATCAATCAGCTAGACTAACAGAGAGCGAATCGTCCACCGGGGCCCCTACCTCGCTCCAACACGTCAGCTGTCAGCAGGTACTGATGGAGGTCTGTTTGCCTTCTGTCCAGGGCCGGCCACTTGTCTTTGAGCCTGTTCTGTCGAACCTGGGGTGTTGACAGTTTATGAGCGTATGATTTAGTATGTTTATGATTATTGTGATTCCTCAGACAAAACTTGACAGGCTTTGTGGTCTTTCTGTAGTTGTGATGTAGTTGTGATTTGGATGCGATTCTGTGATGTGATTCTATTTTTTTTGTCAGCTGAAATGTAATGTTGTGGAACTTTTCCTTGTGGTAGTTTCATGAAAGCTTTACAATGCCTCTCAGGGTACAAGATGCATTCTCTGTAATTATTTTTGGTCTTACCCCGGCAGTGACATTTTTGATCCAGTCCTCTCTCCCTCTCCATGCAGCAAATATTTTAAATCTAAAAGTACAATGCTACGACTGCTGCTTTAAAGGAACCCAAATCCTTTTCATAATGCATTAATAACTGTTCTTCACCCCCCCTCCTACACACACGCTCTAACACCAACTTAGACAGAGAGAATAATAAAATGCTACGCCTGTACGATTTTTCCTTTTCCTTCTTATTGCTTTATTCCCTAATGTCACGCTTTGCAGGAACTCAGAACATGAGCTCTCTGCCAAGGTGAGACCAAAAGTAATGAAATACTTTAATAATTTGAACCTAATCTTTCTGCTCCAACTCGTGCACATAATAATGCAAACCGTCACGGGCGGAAAGCAATTGGAGTTGTTTTGCTTCTTCTTTACTGCAAAAGTAGCCCATCAAACTAGCTGGGGCGGCTAATGTTTTTTCTAATAAGAGCTCACCTTTAATTTCAGTCAAACGAAGCAGTTGGTGAAGATTAGCATAGGCAATTTTATGCTTCAGATTCCATTATTAAAACACTCCTGGTATCAGGAAGTGTGTCTTGTTGAATAGAGATTTTTTCTTTTATTTCTATTTGAGCTTGAGTTAATACCTTTTGGGCTTTTGTTGCCTTTATCTCCTCCTCTTAGGGAGGGATTCAGAATGCCGACATGCTGTCAGAGTGCAGTCAAACACCCGCTAGTCGAATCATTTTAAACATGTGATTGAAACTTCTGGCAACGGATTGTGAACTGACCAACTCAAGAACTCTGTCTTCACTTTCAGTGCAACAAAACAAACTCTTAGTTATCAAGCGCTGAACTTATCAGAATCACGAGTATCAAGTGCTGGAGTATTAAGTATTTTAATATTCGCCTCAGCGGACACCTCAAATTAATGTATTTAATAGGATTGAAACTGTGTTTATTAACATCATCATTTGTGTTCTGACACACATTATTGAATTCTGTAGACCACGATAATACCAAATATGTGGTGTCTTGGCCATACATTACGCGGTGAGCACTAACATTCAACTGTCATCTAGAGCACTGAGCGGTGTGGCAAAGGCAAAAGGCAGATTGTGATGGTTGCTACGGGTTACTGTTTGTCTTCGCTTGCGAGCTGCGGGGGTTATTTATCATTTAATAAGTCACTGTCACATCTGTCTCTCTCAGGTTGCATTCACTTTGCTATTCATGAATATTCTCTCTCTGCTGGTGATTTATTTAATCCTGTCGCTGTACCCTTCACTGCACACGTAGACACACACACACAGACACACTCAGACTAAACAATACACGTACCGATGCAGATGAATTTCTCCCACAGTCTTCCGTGTGTACAGTTAATCACAGACGTGTAGTGCATTTAGGAAGCCTGCTTGAAATACACGCACACCAGAAGTATTGTCAGTGAAGGCAGCGCTTACTGAGCTCATTCCTTTGTGCATGATTCTGTGATCACTCGGAGGGATGACCTGAGGGCAGTTTGTTTCTGTGTGTGCGTCTGGTCAGCTACACAAGATAAATACACATGTCCGATCATGTTAAAGGAAGCCATGCCTCCCGGTGTCTAATTGTTCTGTAATTCGCTTTCCTTTCCCTCTCTTACACTTGTTATTTTTCTCAGTGTTGTATACAATCACTTTGGGATAATATTATGAATATGATTAGAATATTTGTAAAGTTACGGTAGTAAATGACTACAAGAGGTCCTGTCTCAGGTTAATTACCCAGAGGGTGCACACAGAGGTAGACCACATATATTCTGTTTAATACTATTCTATTTTAGTTGAGGTGAACCTCATTATTGACCTTTTGTAAGAGCATCTGACAAAATGTAGTGAAAGCTGTCACGAATGAGAAGTCATTTTAGTGTTCTATAATGCCATGAAAGCAAAATAGATCAATTACTATTTGACCTACCTAATACAATCACCATGTTCACTCACCTGTGTTTTTTCTTTTCTCTTGTGTTGTCTCCTATTTTCTACTAATATGCTGTGCTCTATACGGTTGCCGGCAGACTGAGTGCACATATGAGAGATTGCACAAGATGCAGTACTCTGAATGATAACGTGTGTGTGTGGGAGGGGGTGTGGGGGGGTGTGAATGTGAGTGTACATATCCATATCCCAATCCTTCCTGTTACGAGTTCTGTCACAACAGCAGGTAAATTACTACAAGCAACGGAGCACTCAAGGATTACCCTCATGTGGGATTAGCATTCACTACCCGGGTGTGTATATGTATGTATGTGCTTTTGTCTACACCAACATTGAGTGTATGTGTTAGTAAGATAAAAAGAAAAGAGAAAGTTTGACTTTGACTCCTAAGCTGCTTTGTCGATGCATAATTCATCACTCTGCACCTTGAAGCCTCTTGAAACTGTCTTAGATTCTACAACTGCAACTGAAAAAAACCTGGAAGAACCATGAACAATCTCAAACATTTTCTTTTATTTTGCTCTTCACAAAATTTGAATGATACAGTATCACAAAGGTATCGTTGCTCATAATATGGTGGAGTAGGTAACTATTTTTTCTTTTGGTTTTGAAATTTATCAATTGCACTAATAATTATTTATTTATTTTGATTCAATGATGGGGTTTTTTTTTCCTTCAGTTAATTTTCTCACAGAAAGAACAATCACTACATAATACGATCATTGTCAGAGACTGTAACCATAAGGCTCACATCGCACTGCACCTTAGCTACTCTTATCTAGAGATAACAATGTTTAACATCTTTTACAGCTTTACAGGTCTTTGACTCAACATTAAAGGAAAATTCAGATTTATAATACAACCAAGATCTAGTTCAGTTTCATGGCTCTTTATAATCTGTTCTCAGCTTGAGGTTTGTCTTTAAAATGTTATCAAAATAATCCTAATTGAGAATTCCAGTCCAAACTCTGACAGTGAGACCCAGGTTGTAAAAGAAGCAAGTTATTTTTGTATCACAAAGAAGAGTGTACTACTCCAGTTTTCATGTGATGAGCTTTAAAGTTAACAACATTAAGTGGAGATTCATACAACCCTGTTTTCTATTAATTTCTATTAATTCTATTCTATTTAATTAAAAGGTGTAATGTCACGCTTGCTCCCAAGAAAAGTCTAAGAGCATTAATCTGAAATGATGTCAAAGGAAGATATAACAGAAGAATTACTTTTAACATATTCGCAGCCAAGAGAGCGAACAGAGACACCATCAGTTGGCAGTGCTGCGTTGTAGCCACACTGACGCTCCTCTCCCCCCTTTGCTTTATTGTGCAGACCTCGACAGACGGCGTCTGTGTGCACCGAGCTGCAGGCCAAGGTGCTGCAGGGCTACAGAGAGAATCCACAGCAGACCCTGCACTGCTCCGGCCTGGCCTGACAGTACATGACCTGTGTCCAGCAGGCCAAGAAGGTAAGCCATGGCTGCATGCTGCACCACGGGCGTGAGAGCGTTCTCGTCTTTTGTGTATACGAATGAACGTGTCCGTGTGGATGTGACTGGTAACTCCAGGCTTCTCTACTTTCCATCAATTTCACACTCCCATTGTTTTTTTATTAGACCATTAGCACTCCTCGCTTATTCCCTTTGAATGACACACTCGGCCGGAGTACTTGGAATAGCTTATTTTTTCTTTGAGATCTTTTTAATTAGTTTCCCTAAAAAGAGATGCTGGAAGATAGCAGGTAATTAGTAAAAAGTGTAAGGAGCTTGGCAGTGACACTGACGGTGGAACAAAAAGGTAAATGGACAAATAATCCTTTCACTCCTAATGGAATCAGTTGAACCTCAGTCTTTGAATCATAATCTGCATGTCAGGTTACTTTGACACTTCGTTTAAGGAGCTAAATCAACGAGACATGCTCATTGAGTCACAGGGCGTGCACAGTGTTTTGGAACTTTGTGATAGGCAGATTATACCGTTATTAGTGTATTGAAATGAGATTGAAATTTGGGCATTCATCCCTTTGTAATGCATTCTGCCTTCTGCAGATATGTTGGCAAATAGTGTTCAGACCCTACGCTTATCTACATAAGTGCTTATTTTACCCAATTTTCCATCAAATAAACAATAATGACCGGATGCAATTTGCACATCATAATTGCTACAAAACGCACTGACAGTGCCCCAGAGTAAAAAGAAAGGAAGAAAAAAAAGTGAGGAATTTGGCAGTTTAACCCAGTCAATGGAAGCAAGGCAACGGTTCACAATAAAAGCAATCAGTCTTTTTAAGACGGGTTCAAACGATCTATTTGCCAGTGAGATGGTGCTTTTTGAGAGACTAAACTGTGTATTTGCACCTTTTATTTTAGTGAGCATGTGTATGCATCAGTTTGTTAGTGTCAAAGTGCAGAATTAAAGCGGGCTGTTTTTCTCTCTTTTGATGCACTTGTTTTATACCGATTCAATTGGGCATCTCCTTGACAAAGTGAGTGTGAACAGAAAGCAAGAGGGAGAGAAAACCGAAGAGACGAAAAGAGCGAGTAAAGGTCAAGTGAAGGAAAAAAGAAAGCTTTCGGCCATATCAAACGCTTTGGAGCTGCAGCCCTCGTCTGGGAGGTAAAGGGTTGTGGAGAGGCTGAGCGGGCTCCCACCCTACAAGGCCCTCTGAATAGCAATGCAAGGCCCACAACTTCTACTCTCGTGGCAGAAGGTGGAGGGTCGTTGATAAATGAGGTGGACAGCGGTTCAGAAGCTAAACATCCTGGTGCTTCGTGGAAGACTTATAGTTTTAGATCTGTGTTAGTGTCACTGCGGGGCTGTTGAATGTCGACTGACAAAACCTAAAAGTACAATTCTTAGAGTAGCCCCCTTTTTTAAAAATACCCCATGGTGGCTGTCTAACTTTGAAAAGAATAATCTTGATCCCAAAGCATTTTATTGCTGATGTCCTCTCTGTCTAACCTTTCTTTTTCGGGATAATCCAAGGGAGATGAAATCTCGCTCTTCAAGAGTGACCTGCAGTACTCTTTTGAAGCTGGTAGGATTTTTTAGGTTGACCTTTAAGACTTCTGAAGAGGGCTCTATCCCAAGCTCAAACTTCAAGAGGCACGTAAATGTTTCGAGATTTAGGATATATATGATTGACAAATGTAGCAGACCTCATATTCGAGTGTCAATTGATCTGCCCGTCCAATATACATCCTTTATTACATCCTTTTTTCTCTCCCACATCTAGACTATCTGCTGTTCCATGGATCTTTCGTGCTGCTATCACTGTTGTTTCATCCTCCATTCGTCCCCCTCCTCCTAAATTAAAGCCTCCATCTCGGCTCTTTGCTGCACACTGTCACATTAGCCAGTGCGTTAGCTCTGAGATGTTCTGCTAGCCGAGAGGCTCTTATGTAGGTTTGGCTCACACCTTTTCTCACAGTCCCACAGCCTGGTCTTAGACCCACCCCCAGTCCTTGTTGAACACTCAAATATGTTTTTATATATATATATCTTTTTTTTTTTTTGACTAAAATCTCTCCCCTGTCACATGAATTACTTCATAACAGCAGCTCGTAGTTAAAGCTCCAAAATGTTTTTATCGTTATTATACAATTAGACAGTGTGCGAGATACCTGTTGGCCAAACACACACACACACAACGTAACAACTAGACCATGGGTGTCAAACATACGGCCCGCTAAGTGCAGAACACGCAGACATTTCCCGGGCTTCTATTAGTGTTTGTTCCTGATACCCAAGATGCAGAGTGATAATGTCCTGCTTTACTCCAAGTTGTCTCCAAAGGGGGTCCGTTTAGGTCCACAAAGTAGGGTGCAGAAGCCCTCACTTCATTTGTGAATAAATGCTTTGCAGTTGAAATAATGAAACCTGCTGGACATTAGTAGGCCTTTAAAAGACATTTAAGTGACCAATTATTGCGTTATGAGCAGTTATGTGGCCCATGAAGTTTCGCTAACGAGGATTTCAGGGGGTTTGAAGTGTCCATCGAGGTGCTGGGAGATTGCGTCGGCGATAGCAGCCGAAAACCGAGTATGCTGCAGAAAGAAAAAGATGGATGACGAGAAATGACTATTACAAAATACAAATTAAATAGAGAAGGGAGCCCACACGTAGAGCTGCCACTGGAGGCTCCCGATCATTCAGCCTAGATGGAAAGAAACAAGTGGGCAGTCCTGAGACCCCGCTGGACACAAATGCAGATGTCCAGTCTGCCTGTCTATAAATGGATGTGACAGAGCCAGCAGCTCGGCAGGGCAGAGCACTTGGACGAGGGTTTTACTAGCTAAAGTTTCCGAATGGCTGCAGGTAGTAAAGGGCCAACAGGGAGCAGTATGCACTGCAGATTTAGTAATGGGAGAGTGCACTGCATCGTATTTCATCCTGAAATGTGATATTCTACAGACCCGTTTAGTACATTTTGTGAACGGCGAGACTTCTAATAAATGAGAGTTTAGCTTTCTCTGGATCAAGTGCCCGTGTTTTTGTTCCAAACTAGCAACAGAAGGTTTGTTGGTCAAGTAATCACTAGGGATGGGTATCGTTTGGGTTTTTTCCGATACCGATGCTAAAAACTGTGCCTGACTTTTTTTTCTTTTTTTTTTTTAAGCACAAAAAAACGATAGACTTTAATGATGTTTTCTTTTATTAATATTAATATTTGACAGAATGTATTATTTGTATATTTAGTTAATGCTTTGCTGTGTAAAATAAAGTAAAATAAAAGACAAAACTAAAAGAACGATCCCTTGTCATTTGGGTAAGGAAACAAAGTTACTGTTTCTGCAGCTCAAATGCGGCTTAACGACAAGCAACACCAAAGGAACGCCGCTACACCCTGTGTTTATAAACTTGGGGGGGGTCAGGGAAACATGAGGGGCAAGGAAGGGATCGGGGGGGGGGGGGGGGGGGGAACTTGGGGGGACCTCCCCACTGCCCCTTTCTTCCCTCTTCTAAAAAAGTTCCGCCTTGGAAAATGTTTTATTTTTTCCGCTTTCAAAAGGTTTAGCTGGAATTTTAAACCTTTTTTAACAACTAAATGTCCAAAGATAATGTCTGATTTGTTAATCAGACATCTCACTCAGTGCTCTTCATTTTGTCATTTTGTAGGAGCACTATGCTGAAGGACAACAATGACATACTAACATATTTTTGGGAAGCACCCTGGAGTCACCGCGGTCACCGCAGTCACCGCGGCAGGTCCTTTCTGTCCTAGCTCGGATAAGCTCTGTTGGTCGCTCGGCTCACGCTGGCTTGTAAGAGTTCATCCCTATAGACTCTGCTGTATCTACTGTACGGTATCTATCTGTTCCTACGTGCCTGTCTGTTTGTCAACCAATCTGCCGATAAAGCCAGCGGCCTGCTCCTCCGTCTACTCCGCCAGTGTTTTGATCTGAACATCACTCAACTATCCATCTTACTTTTTCTATGTCTACCCGCTTAAAGTCTACCCAACTCACTATCTACAGTGGCACAGCCTCCCTTATATGTCACTCAAAAGTGCTTTTATGTTCTTATGATTCATGCACACACACACACACATTTCTCCACACGTTTTTCCATCTGCCATCCATTAAAGGCAGTTGCTTCAGGATATGGGCCTAGCACTCCCACGCCGCTTGCCTCCCCCAACTCCCTCCTGTCTCTGGTTGGGCCATTGTCATGCATATGTCACCTTTATAAGTGTAAGTGTGTGTGGTGTGTGCGCTAAGGATGCAGGGTAAATGTCAGCTCACCAAGGCCCAGCTTTGTGGGTTTTGTCTCTTTGGTTTGCCGTTATCTTATATATTATCAGTATATGGTCATTGTGATTGACAGGTTGTTCATATTCAGTGTGCGTTAGCGGGAACGCAGTTTGTGCGTTTCCCCCCCGCTCATCATCTTTTCTATCGCTTTCATCCTCCTTCTTATTGAAATAAAACACACCCATCCTCCAAGTCACATTCAAGAACAAACCACCACTTACTAAAAGTGTCAGCCACCCCTCCCCGAAACTCAAAGGCTCCAGCGCCAACCGTTTGTAGAATTCTAGTGTTGTGCCATTTAATACCATTAGCAGCTGCCAACGGCATTGTAGCAACACTTGCCCATGAATCCCACGTACTTGAACCACTTGAACCCGTCGGGCCCCTGAACGCAGTATTCGTCGACGCTGATGTGTGGGCTCTGAGATGTTTGGTTAAGTGCCACTCAAGTTGTGCCTTGATTACTGAGGCAGAACTATGGAGTTGCCGAAGCAAAGCGTGTAATCGGTTGCTTTTGTACTTGCGTGTATGGTGACATTTTTAAAGGTAATCAGCAGTCTGTCTTTTCCCAAATGTGACTTTTAAATAGTGCCATCACAGCTTGAAATAAGTAGAAAATATAGTTGGAGGATGTTGATGGTCCTGGCGGGGGGTTGATAATATGCAAATAGAAGTGCAGTGTTTCCCATAGGTTTACAGCTTTGGGGGTGTGGCGG